TGCAACAGCTTGGAAATTTGGTCATATGAGATGATGGTGCTTTTGGCTGGTCTTCTCCCAGATCCAACACTCGAGACCTCAGTTCTCTCAATTAGGTTTGCATTTTCCTTACTTTTTTATTTATTTTATTAATTCAAATTGTTCCTAGTAAATGTTACTAACTCGTTGAATCTTATTGCAGCCTTAACACGAATGGCATGATTTACATGATACCCCTCGGACTAGGAAGTGCAATAAGGTGATCTACAATAACTAAGTACTAAAAAATTACATGAGTGATTATTCTCTGGTCTTATTTATTTATCACAAAAAATTCGTTGTTCCACAGCGTACGGATTTCAAACGAATTGGGCGCTGGACGGCCTAGAGCAGCTCGACTAGCAGTATTTATGGCTGTATTCATGGTGGCTGCTGAAAGCATCGTGGCGGTGGCAGTAATCATTCTGGGGCGCAAGTTTTGGGGATACTGTTTTAGTAGTGAAGCACAGATAGTTGGTTATGTTTCTGATATGATGATTCTAATTGCTGTGACCAATTTAGCAGATGGAGTTCTCTCTGTCCTAAACGGTTTGTTAAAAGTATTTTTTATATTTGACTGAAGTAGAGGGGGGAGAAAAATTTGTCTCTTGGACCCAACATTATATGATATAGACAACAAATATTCTAGTACGATTCTTGATTTTTTAAAACTGCAGGCATTGCTAGAGGATGTGGATGGCAAAAAATTGGTGCAATTGTCAATTTGGGATCCTTTTATATCATTGGAATCCCACTAGGCATATTGTTGGCATTTACCTTACATCTTGGAGGGAAGGTAATTTCAATTTAGGAGTCATGGTACCTTTTTTTTTCCAGTCACAGTTTACATAAAAGAACACATACTGAACTTATAAGTCACGACCAACGAAAAACCTTTAAATAAAAAGGTACATGTATCCAAAATTTATAAGGGTAGCCGTACCCTGAATCCACACATTGTGTAACTTGTTTCTTACATATGGTGCACAGGGTTTATGGACAGGAATCATAGCGGCAGTTTTCGCGCAGACATTATTCCTGTCGATCATAACCATCCGGACTAATTGGGAGGCTGAGGTAAAATTTTCTTACTCTTTACTTCTACCAAAATTTTAAGTCTAATAATTTTAGTGTTTAAATGAGGTGGTTCAAAAGATGGCAGTGGTAAATTTCCAAGTTTTTGAATTACAGGCAAATAAGGCAACTGCCAGGGTTTATGACTCGACAATCCCTGTTGTGGCATAGAACCAGAATTGGTGAAAATGGCAGCTCCCTGAATCTGATCATGTGCACGAAATTCATCGGAGTGAGAGAGGTGATCCAGTAAATGGCGGCTGTTGTGTGCAGAAAATCTTGGAATTTTATGAAATATTGTGGTTGGTTCTTGTTGGTGCTGATAGAAAACTTTCTGGGATTATGTGAAATATTATGGTTGCTGTTGGGGCAACAAATCCTGGAATCATGTCGCATATTCTGTTTGAGTTTGCTTATAATATTTGATTGATTTCTTGCATTTCACAGAAGAATAGAACATTCGAAAATTTCCAGAGCATTGCAAATTGAAATCAATCGATGTCAACTTTATCTCAAGTTGATGCATAAAGACGCCAATTTGTCAAAAGTTATAGTTGGTAGGGGAGGTGTAGTTAAGCACTTTATAAAGTAGGACTAGGTTTAAGAATTCAAGCCAAGTACTATAAGTGACGGATCCAAGAATTCGAGCGAATTAGGACGGATCTAGATGAGCGGCAGCCCAATATATGCAAAAAAAAAAATTTAAAAAGAAGAAAAATTCTGGCAAAGCCAGCATGAATGGCCACTATGACTCGTTGGGTGCTGACCCCCCGGAGAACTATATGTTTGGGTTTGTCTTCGAGAATCTCATCAAGGGACGTTGACATGAGCAAAAACTATATTTAGTCTTGTTCAATAACTCAATTTCAAGTTAACTATTCCTAAAAAGTAAGAAAATATCAAGAATGTTACGTAAATAAATTCAAAGTTATAAATTCAGTACAACTGGGTTACGATAACTTCTCACAAAGTTCTAGCAAAATGCGGATATAATTTTCATTATTTAGTATGTAGAAAGTGAAGGACTCATTGGGCAACTTATGCTTTTTATGTATGATCTTTCCAAGAAAGTTACAATAATTCAATTATTTTCAAAAAACTCTTCTAATCAGATAAAATAAAAAATAATTCAATAATTAAAAAAAATGACAAGAATAATATGCAGACATACATGTTTGATTAACACAACTTGATTATTTCTTGTCTGAACTAATTACAAATGAACGGCCAATTTTCATTTGCTTTATTTAATATTTAGGAATTTAAAAGCCACAAAATGAACGGTGAGAAGACATCAAAACCTAGTTATTAATTCAGAAAAGAATGCTATGGAAAACATTTGTCATGTTGAAAGGGACAATCGAAATTCCCAATCAAAATTATATAGGAGACAAGATATTAAATAGATACTTGATAACCTAAGATTAATGATTTTTCTAAATAAATTAATTTTAAAAAAATAAAATATGTTATCATTTTTGTTACTCTTATGAAATTCGCATATTTATGAAATTCATAACTTTTTAATCATATATTTTACAAACTTTTATCAAGATTTACTAAAAATTTAATTTTAATCCCAATTAATTATGAGCTAAACATCGTATGATTAAAGATGTGATTGGTTAATTATTGATTTTTTTTTTCTTGTGGAGTGTAATCAAGAAATAAAAAATCAATAATGCTTCTCGAACGGGGAAAAATAATTGGGTGAGTTGACGTGATGGGGTAAGCAAGGTGGGATTGTATACTTTTTTTTTTTTAATTGTTCAATCGTATATTGACACGTGGCATCTCTGTCAATGACCCGATCATTTAACCTGATAGATTGATAAAAAAAAATTTGGTGTCGATTCATCATTGAAGTGTCGAGTAATTATTAAAGAAGATATTTGTTAAAGATGATTAATTGATTCCTCACTTTCAGGTGTCAAAAAAGACGGATGTCCCTCTAACAATATACTTTGTGATTGCTCGTATGTTAGGTTAAAGTAACATTGGTCTGTGAAAAAAAAAATTAATTGAAAAAAAGTTATGAATTTAGGTATATATTTATTTTGTTAAGAGAATTTATAACTAAAAATAAATTTGAAAAAGGTGACTTCGAAAAAATAAAAAACAAACAAGATTTAAAGGTGAAAAGTACAATTTTGCCCTTATTTGATCCCAAATATTTTTAAAATACGTTTTCTCTTTTATTTTTAACAATATTTTTTCAATAAAATAATATTACATGTAAATAAAAAAAATTTCTTATCTTTTAACAACACATTTTCTATCAAAATAATATTTCAAAATGCATTTTGAGCAGTTAAACATACTCGTTTTTTAACTCTATTATTAATCTTGATGTAAAAGTGATACATTTCAAGCCCGCAATTAATAATATAATTCCCATAGTAGCTCAAGATGTAATTAGAACTTGTTCAACCCCTTCATAGGATACCTTCCTAGCTTTTAAAAGAAAAAAAAGGGAGATAGTTATGAAGGATTTTTTTCGTAGCCTCTTTTAATGTCTAAGTTAATAGTCAGAGGTAGAAATTACGTACCCCATGTTTGATACAGATTTTTTAAAACTCATTTTTTAAAAAAATTTATTTTCAATAATACACTCTTCAAATAAAATAATTTTACACGTGAACTCATAATTTTTCGTGCTTTTTAAACACATTCTCCAAAATAATCGATTTTCACAATATCTATTCTAAAAATTCTACATCAAATAAGCCATAGTGTAGTTGAAAATGTATACGACTTGATATACCTATCTCGTATTTGATAATTATTATGGAAGAGAGTGAAGTGGGTAGATAATGGAGTAAAAATTCAATCTTTCTTAGGTTAGAGATAAAGTTCTACACAATTCAGATATCTCTTCATTATGGTCATAATATTTATTAAACTCGTGTAAATCAATTGTAGAAGAGTTTTGCATATAGCATTAGAATTGCTCATATGCAAGATTATTAATACTTAAAATACATAGAGAAAATTCAAGTTACTCAATTATTTTAGCTCCAGTTGTTAATCTCAACATGGTACCATAGGACAATTCATACGAGAATAATTATTGATCCTGCTCCAGCAACCACCGTGGCCAACCAAAGCTTCACCACCACCACAACCACCACCTTCATTGGATCTTTATTTTTCTGCCACCATCACCACGCCACCCCCCCCCCCACCCCCTCCCCCTTCCTCGCGCGTCAACCCTACCTATATTCTTCATGTGACCTCTCCTCCACCATCTCTATAAATATTGCTCCGCAAGTTCCTCTCAATCCCATAAACATAAATTATCATTTTTGTGCCTTAAAATTCATACTATTCTTATTGGATATGATCTATTAGGCTTTGTCGATTGATCACGTTCTATCCTCCAGCCACAATTAATCAGACGGAAAAACCACTCCAAAACCTAATTTTGCATTCTCGATTTGTCAAGATCAACTTCTAAAGAATGCAATTATTGGTTCTCTATCCCCTATCATAGTCTTGTTCATAGCCTCATTCAAGACTTCTCAAGAAATTTGGAACACCCTCAAAACAAGTTATGCTAAATAATCATGTGGATGAATCATGAAGTTAAAAAGGACATCTTGATGACTACAAAGACATATCATCATTAGTTTGTGCTCGGAAACTCCTACACTGCATTTGTAGCCAGGGGCCGAGGGGAGGGAGGTCCTGGGGGGGGGACCCCCCCACCCCCTCCCCCCCCAAATTTTTTGAAAAAAAAATTATTTTTATTTTTTGGCCTCAAATTTTTTTTTTTTTTAATCTCCTAATCCAACCCTTTTAGTTGTTTGTGAAGTTGTATTGTTATCAATTATGAGTTAAAGAGTTTCCTCAATCCTCAAACTCAGTGATGGAGAAGTATTTCNTTCATTTCTCCATCATAAAGTACCAATTTTCCTTATTTTAACAGATAATGTTTCAAAAAAAAAATTTCGAGAGCGCTGCCCTCGAACCCCCGTAAGCCCCCGTCCCTTCAATTCCAGGACCCCCTTAATTTGAAGGGCTAGCTCCCCCCAGTTTGTAGCCACACCACAACCTGACAATCAATGCCCACGTCCCAATTATTGCTCACCTGACTCCATCTGATTACCAACAATTATCATAAGAGATATTGAGAACGTTGCCAGGTATGTAATGTGCAAGGCATTCTTCCCGAAGATGCCATCAACTTGTTTTATGAATTCCCACGAAAATTCGTACTAGCACTAAAATAATTTGCTTTATGAAAATAAGCAACTGTTGAAAATAAGTGATTTTTTTTTTCAAAATCACTTGTTTAGTCCACACAATCTATACACACGTGCGCTAGCACTATAGATACATGCCAATAATTCTATAAATTATTTTTTATAATTTCTCGAGCCTGTCCTAGAAGCCAAAATTGTGGCATCTCTATACACAATAGGAGGCAAACTCTTAAAAACAAGGAAATAATCTATTCTAGAAAATTTGGACTTGGGATGGCTCAGGTCAGACTTTTCTCCAAGGTCGAGCTAAGGTCGTAATGGCTTAACATCAACTCGAAAACCTCATCTTCTACTTCGTAATGAATAAAAACTCACGTTAATCCGATAACTATAGTGAATGTACAATTGTCCCAAATATGGATACTCGAAGCTAAAATCTGGGACTTCAAAAAAAAATTCCAGCAAATCCTATTTTCGGCGTTCCGTTTTGGCTCGAGTTTTGAGGCATTTCCACAAGTCTAAAAATAGGAAAATTGTGTACGAAAACGAAGGTCTCGACACGAACTGAATACAAGGCTCGTAATGACATTTTAAAGATGGTTGTCCGATAAAGAAAAACAATCCATTAACTTTTGATTTCTGCTATTTTGGTACTTGAACCAAACTTTTGGACCTTAGTCAATTGAGTCCTCAAATAATTCATAATTTATCAATTGAGTCCCTCACTAATTTATTTAAATCTCTATTTTTCCTAAAATCTTGGAATTTAATAAACTCAAATGTGACTTGAATTTTTGTGACGTTACAATCTACCTCTTTAGATAAATTATGTCCTCAAAATTACTTAAAAATAACTCAAGGAACTTCTCTTTCACTTCGTCTTTGCGATCTCACACATCTTCCTTGATTGATATCTTTGAGAAAAAGGACCTATGTGTTCAAGAGCCGTTTTGTTCGTCAAGAGTT